AAATATAAACCAGTTTGTGTGTGTATGTGTGTGTGTGTGTGTGTGTGTGTGTGTGTTTCAACTGTGAACCAAATGACCTCTTATGACTGACTGTACTTCCAGATGTGACCACAATTAGTGGATGGACCATTAGCATTAATTGCAAATAATACGTTTTAAAATCAAACCAAAAGTGCATGTGAATTTGCTTGTTTGTAGTTCTGTGTATTTGTGTGTGGTTTGTTTCTGTGTGGTCTGAGTGTGTGGCCTGTTTGTTCACGTGTTTTACACTGTGCGTGTGGTAGCGTGTTCTTGTTTTGTTCATTTTTATAGAGTCTGAATCCCTGCAGAGAGGAAATAGGGATAATAGATGTTCTGGCTAAGTGTAATTACTGTCACTGTGATATATTATGAACTTCTCTTTTGTTTTACGGCCTAACCAGAAATGTTTCACAGCTTTGATCAATTCATTTTACTAGTTTTATCCTCTCTTGTTCTCTTTTGTTCTTTGTAGTAACCTTTATTGTGATGTAATAGAGACTTAATGTAGCTGTCGGCTTTCTGGAGTCGCAGTCGCAAACGTAGATAAATGAAGCGAATCCCTGTGGAGGAACAAAGATAAACAGGTGCTCTCTTTGAATGGCTGCCATAAAGCAAACTGATACAAATGCAGAGAGATGTTACACACCGGAGGCTGATCCCGCTGAAGACTGATTTCATAAAGTCTAATCTGCCGTTCGCCGTGTGTGGAAACTGCATTTTTATGTGCTTCATGATTTAAAGCAAAGAAATTCACCAGCAAATACAGACTGTCCAAAAGCACTAAAGTCGTTTCTGCTATCCACGTTTGTGATTTCTGCAGGTAAGAGTCCGTCTCAGGAGTTTACAGCCATCATTCAAGTGGTCACACCTCTACAGTCCCAACAGCAGCCCATATTCAAACTGATCCATGCGGTCGCCAAGTCCAAGTTCTGTGCGCAGGTGAGAATATGAGAGCAAATAATGAGACACAATGACAATACTTCCATTATTATCTATGCTTGAAAGTGTGCATCAGGTTAAGGACCATTCACACTGCCAGTGATTGTTTGCTGGAGGTCACATTGTTGGTTAGAGTTCTTGCTTTATCGGTGGCCTGAACAACTGGCTATATTAAATCACAAATGAGACGTATCACTGGTAAAATTAAGAATAACTATGTTATGGTAACAAGGTAACTTTTAAAAACAGTTAAATGAACAAATAAAACAATTATTTACATTCACAAGGATCTTAATATTCACATTTAAACATCTTAACAAATAATCAAAAATTATCAGAACACATATGATCAGAATACAAACAAACTGTATTATGTATAGACATGTTATATCCAGTGTTATCCAGTGCCAGAAGTGATGACTATAAATCCACAAATGCTGTATATTTAGTATTTATACATTATTAGAAAAATTAAACACTATTTTATATTTAATATAATTTAAAATCACTTGAAAACCACAAAAATATGACTTCACATTGAATGTGAACTCTGTCATTGGCCCGTCACCACAGCCAGACAAACATCTGATAGTGTTGACAAATTTGGCATTTCTTTCACAAAACAAATGGAGTTCATGTAATAGCCTGTGACGAGTGGGGCGGGGCCGAGAGCCGTGGGAACGGAGCGAGGCCGGTGGAGTAAATGATAATGCGCGACACCTGCGCCACTCACCGGTCTCGAGTCCCACGGAGGAGCTCCAAAAGGATAAAAGGAGGAGTGACGACAGTGTTGGACGAGAGAGGACCAGGCCTGGAATTTATGTTGTTGTTTTGGTTCTGTTTGTGCACGGCAGTCATCCGTGAGGGGCTGTCGCGCTATTTTCAGTTTTCTGTTTGTTTATTTATTTATTAAATTATGTTTAATGTTCGCCGGTTCCCGCCTCCTTCTTCCCGACCTACGAACTGTGTTACATAGCCATTTTGTTTTCTCTGTTGATGCTAGATGCTAATAGACCCTGCTTTAGGAGAATAAAATTATCTAAACATTTCAAATAATTTCCTCAGAAACTGGAAGATAGTGTTGACAAATCATGGTTGAGACACAGGACATATTAACAAAAGGATTTAAAATATTATAAAACTTACCATTATTAAGTGTTGCTTTTGATAAAACAAGCTCTTTTTTATCATAAAAAAAAAATGAGTGATTGAACCCTTCTCTGTGGACACACTGTTTTAGATGTAGTGAGAAGACAATTAGTGTCATAGATTTGATATAATAATGATAAAATTAAATTGAAGGGGATAAATTGTAAAATACATTCTATTATTAATCCCTCATAACATTTACAATTGAAAATATTTTCGTTTTTAAACCTAATAGCAGTTACAATTTCTGGACGTGTTTTGTTCCATGTCTCAAGAATCAGTGACCTGTGACTTTTTTCTTCTTTAGAACTTGTTCAGTAGGGTGCTTTTAACAGACAAACAATATATAAATAAATAAATACACAGATGAAGTTTTATGATACAACTTGTTTGCATAACATTCATAATATTTCAACTCCTTTGATAACATTTTGTGAGGAAAAGAGCAAATAATTATTCTATTTGCTGAAAAACATCTCCAGGTTATGCATGTAACCATGGTTCCCCAAGGGAACAAGAAGCTGCGTCGGAAAACGCTATGGGAATGCCTTCAGCATGACCACGCCCTGAATCACGTGTGTAATCAGTCCAATGGATGGGTAAGACGTCACGAGACCAGGAAGCTTAAAAGCACGTGCGGTGGAAACAGCGGCAGCTTCTGGAGAATGAAGGAAGCGCTCGCAGGGATGCCGGAAGTATGGCAGGGAGACGCAGCGTCTCGTTCCTTCGGGGAACCATGGTTACATTCCCATTCAGGAACTCGAGCTGCGTCGGAAAACACTATGGGAACGAGTATGCCCACGCCGCCAGACTTTCCCTGCCTAGTGTGGAAGAGCACAACTAAGGCGAGAGAACAGAGGAGCCGGGAGTGGCACGAATATCGAGGTCATAGAACCTCACAAACGTGAGCGGCGTGGACCAACCCGCAGTGTTACAAATGTCCTGCATAGAGGCACCCGACAGGAAGGCCTTGGAGGCCGCCACGCTTCAGGTGGAGTAAGCCCCCTCATCCCCAGGGGCGAGGGGAGGCCAGAGGACTCGTAGGCGAGGGAGATGGTATCCACAATCCACCGATTGAGGGTCTGTTTAGAGGCAGAAAGACCCTTCTTAGGGGGACCATAGCACACTAGCAATTGGTCTGATTTCCTCCAGAGGGCAGCTCTGTGGACATATGAGTCCAGTGCTCGCACTGGACACATACAATTAAGCTTCTGCTGGTCAGGCTCCCGAAAGGGAGGAGGACAGAAGGCCTGGAGTATGACAGGCCGTGGTGCAGATGAAGGGACCTTAGGAACATACCCCGGCCTGGGGTACAAAAACGCTTTGGCCAATCTGGGCGCAATGTCTAGGAAAGAGGGGGCCACGGAAAGGGCCTGAAGGTCACCAACTATCTTAATCGAAGAGATAGCCAGAAGGAAGGTAGTCTTTAGAGTGAGGAAACGCTCGGAAATCTCTTCAATAGGCTCGAAGGGAGGTTTACAGAGAGCTTCTAGCACCACAGCCAGGTCCCACGGGGGGACACGGGACCGTACCGGAGGCCTCAGCGCACTGCGGAGGAAACGTGTAACTAGGGGGTTTCTGCCCACTGACTGACCACCGAGAGGTGCGTGGTATGCCACTATGGCCACCACATAGACCTTCAAGGTGGAGTGGGTCAAACCTGCGGAGCTAATATCAACCAATCGTCAATATAGTTGAGTATGCGGATGCCATGGAGTCGCTGTGGAGCCAGAGCAGCATCCACACACTTTGTGAAAGTGCGGGGTGAGAGTGCAAGGTCGAACGGAAGAACCCGATATTGGTAAGCTTCGCCCCCGGAAGCAAACCTCAGGAACTTCATGTGATGGGGAAGGATGGAGACATGGAAGTATGCGTCTTTTAGATCTATCGTGACTAACCAGTCCTTGGACCTGATCTGAGACCCGACCTGCTTGACAGTGAGCATCCTGAACTTCAGTCGCATGACTGAGTGGTTCAACTGACGCAGATCTAAAATGAGACGCAACCCTCCATCCTTCTTTGGAACAATGAAGTACAGGCTGTAGAACCCGGACTCTCTGTCGAGAGGAGGGACCACCTCGATGGCCTCCTTCCTCAAGAGAGTTTTTACTTCTTGTTCCATTACCAGAGCCTGCTCGGGGCCCACGAGAGTGGGAGTGACCCCGTTGAAATTAATGTCGTTCATGTCGTTGAAATGCCTTTTTCTACAGTGTGCAGCACCCATTGAGACACATTTGGCAGAAGCTTCCACACTGCCAAATAGTCTACTAAGGGAATCAGTCTCTCGAGACTGACCTCTGGTGTACAAAGAGCTGCTAGCACGGTGACCTGAAGCGGAGGACCGGCAGGGGACAGCCAATCTAGCTGCTCTAGAGACCTCCGTGGAGGTGGCGAGCCCCCCAGGTCCACTACGTTTCTGGGCGGAGGCTGAGGGAAGCACTCGTTGAAGACCACTGTGCCCTGAAGCATCGGGGGTGGCAGGGTTGACAGACCGATCTCCTAAGGGCACTGAGCAGAGACGGGCACCGTATGATGAGGTGTACACTGCTCTCCCCCAGAGGGGCCTGCCCTCAAAAGGCCTGAGCCACCAGCGTCAGGACTTCTTGGCCGAGGACTTCTTAGCCTGAAGGATGGTCCGCAGGTCCGGCTTCGACTTCGAAGTCCTCGACCAGTGAGAGACTCGGTGATATCCTCTGACTTAATCTCCTTGCACTCATCCAGCTCCTTCAGCAGGTCGGCTTGGTACGCTTGTAACACTGCCATAGTGTGCAAACATGCACCAGTCTGACCCACTGCCATGTACCCTTTGCCCACCAAGCTAGATGTAGTACGCAACGGCTTGGAGGGCAGTGCCGGGGCTTTCAGAGACGATGCCGAACCGGGCTTTTGAATGAGATTTTTTTTCTATTTTCTAGTTTCTCATTTTAATTTTTTTTTTAAATAATATTATATATATTTACTAATATACTGTAATAATTGTATCTAATTTTTTATATATGACTATATAATTTTTATTTTTTATTTTTAATTTTAGTTTATTTCATTTTAGTTGTTTCAGTACTTACATTTAAAATAATTGAAAATGAAAAATGTTGCTTTTTTATATATTTAAATTTATTTCAAGTCAATTATTTCAAGTATAATATTTATTTTTATTTATGTATGTATGTATGTATGTATTTATTTATTTATTTATTTATTTTTCTATGGTTTTAGTTTTACTTAACGATAATAACCTAAAATAAAAATAAAAAATAAAAAATAATAAAAAATAAAAAATACATGAAATCATAGGTTTGGAACAATATGAGATAGAGTAGGGGATTTTCCATTTTGGATGTGATATTCCTTTTACTTTCTGGAAGGAAAGTGTTGGTATAATAATTGCAGCCCTGGCTGATGCATCTTATGAACAAGATGAATGATTATCAATGCATGAATCAAACTCATTTAGAATGCCCACGAATTTTGACATGGTTTTCCACACATCATTTTTTTATTATGTCCCTGTATGTGGGCAGCAACTAATCATGTAAAACTAGTCAAACGTCTGGCTGTGCAAAACTAGCATACACTCAGTCTGGCTGCGGTATCTGATAAGTGACAGGTCATGTTAGCTTCACTGTCTGTGTTCCTCATGGGTCACTGCTCCTTTGCCTAAAGTTTCTATACTTTAAACAACTTCTTGTCAGCTGAGATTGCATCGGTTCAGTTTATATTAGATAATTACTACATTTAAAAAAATTTCAGATTATGTATTACCTTGTTAAAAAAGTACACTTTTGCATACAAAAATGGATGTAATGTTTTTGAACACTTAATTGCATGTAATTTACATTTAAATGAAAATGTATTGCAAAGTATGACACACCTACAGTTTTTTTTAAGATTTGAAGTACACATTCAATACAGTAAACCACAGTTTTTTCACAAGAGCTAACATTAGACTGTGTCTGCAAATGCCCTTAATTAACACAGTTACTAAAAATGAGAAGTCTCTTGGTAATTTCTAGTTTGTCGTAAATTTTTCTAGTGGCTCTCACACCTCTTTTCAGGACTAATAAATGAGAATGGGATTTGTTGAGAAATTTTGATTACTTTTTGCATGTGGGCTGTAATAATTCACACCTGCACCTACAAAAACAGGTTGCAATCTAACATTGAATACATGTATACATGAAATGTGCAGTGCAGCTCATGTGTTTTAATGTGGTTTCAGATTTTAGTGCTGTGGAACTATGAGAAGCCTCCACCACCTAGAAACAAGTGGCCCTCCATCACAACACTCTTCTCTATCATTGAGGGCAAAAGAAAGGTGAGATGGGAGAAAGGTGATGAAATAAATAGTATAATTGCATGTTGGTTTAAAGTCTTGGCATGCAGTTCTTGACACAACAACACACATGCAACGAACACTTTGCATACATGCACACAGACTAGCCTTCTAGATAAAGACTTTTTATTTTAAATGTTATATTTTTGTTGTTGTTTTATTTTTATGCAAATGTATTTATTATAGATATTAGATAAATCCTGCCGATATTTTGCTATTTTAGAATTAAAATAATGATAATTTAGTGTGAAAATCATTTTAAATCATTTAAACCATTTTCAAATTCCCCCAAGCAAGGTTTTGTCACGTTTAGTTAGCTTCCAGGGACAGATTTGTACATAAAGTGCAGGTAAGTGAAGTTAAACTCAAACTTTCCAGTGGGAAGGAAACAAAATAACACATAACAGGACAGATGTCACCATTTAAAAACTCTAAAATGATTTGAAATAAATTGTGCGTGTGTATGTGTGATATCTGCACAGCTGTGTGTGGGTGGTTATGTGAATATTCTGAATGTATCTTATCATTAGCACCTTTCAGACTTTGTCTGCTCATCGTCATCCCTCTTTGGACATGTTTTACTCATTTACATCTTGTCATGTGTTATTTGCAGAAACAGTTAGCCTGAACAACTTAATGTGATGGATTACTCTGTCTCCTCACTTATCCCTTAGTTGTTTTATCTCATATCTCAAAATGTAGCTATTTAGGGTTTTTAAATAGAGTCGATGGAAAATGTGAGGAAAAAAAGATCTTAGGAGAAAAAATTATGTTTAACTCAATATTTTTGTAAAGTTAACACATTTGGGTGTTAACTATGAGAACATTTACAGTAGATTTGTGAATTTTTAGAAAAGTCACTTAAAACACTCTCGATAGGTCCAACAGTTAACATACGTGCAGCACAGGAGAATTCCAGGTTTTCTTGATATACTGATCTGACACAACATTAAAACCACTGACAGGTGAAATAAATAACTGATTATATCATTACAACTGCACCTGTCAAGGGGTGGAATGTATTAAGCAGCAAGTAAATACTCGTTCTTGAATTTCATGTGTTGGAAGCAAGAAGAATGGGTGAGATAAAAAGATCTTTGACAAGGGCCAAATAATGATGGCTAGACAACTGGGTCAGAGCATCTAATGGCAAGTCTTTTGGGATGTTCCCCATATGCAGTGGTTAGAACCTGTCAAAAGTGTTGCAAGGAAGGACAACCTGTGAACCGTAATCAGAGTCATGAACACCCAAGTGCTAGTGCGTGCCAGGGCCAGTCGCGTTTCCACTGTCACTTCCGGGGCTTGATCGGGCCTCGTCGGGGCTTCCTCAGGGCCAACAGCCAGGGATTTTTGGCCCGTCAAATACCTTTGTCCAAAGCGGGCCAACACGGGCTTGAGGAGTGATAATGAACAAAGGAAGAGTTTATCCAAGTTAGGATACGGTAGGCACCGCTGCTCATTTCGCATGTATTCATATCAAGCAACCAGCTAGCATCAACTTTTAATACATTTAAAACAATTTTAATGGCAAAACACACTTTCAGACAGTTGGTCTCATTCACTAATAATTGCATAGATTATTCGTATTTATATGCACATTCAAAACTTCTCACGAACACTTTCCGCCTAATTCACACTCATAAGCATGCGCATATGAATTTCTTTTTATTTCTTACTTCTTAGTGTTAGTGAATCTGGAGTGTTCTAAATGAGCGGCCACGTGAACAAAGCTAACCATTTGCATAAAACACACCCAGACCATCTCCATATAAGGGCTTTCCGTACACGCTTTCCTTACAGCCTTCCGTCACTCGCGTCAAAGACACTCCATGCAATACACAATATAACACTCTTTATACAGACCCAGTTTACAGAGCTTACATTAGCTGGCTGTACATGCACTGTTATTCAAAGAAACCTTGCAGCTTGAGCTATAGTCTAACGCAGCTTATGTTACTCTTTCACTGTATAATTAATTTTAAGATAAATTATACTTTTTGATTATAATTCTAGTTCTGCATCCACATATGTCATACATTTCATATACTCTGTGTAACTCATAACTCTGATTTTCTGTCTGTGAGCTCCCTCTGTTGCTTTGGCTGGATTGTTTTAAAATCACTTAAGTTAAAAGTTGTTATATATTTCAGAGCCTATTAAATATTAAAAATAATGGTTTTCAATTATACTGTAATGTTGAATGGTTATAATTAATAGGTAAGATTGAAGGAAACTGCACCAGCAGCACAAATGAAAAACATTGTAAATATGTTTAGTCATTGTAGTAGTAATAATAGCCTGTTCCCCTTCAGGAACTCGAGCTGCGTCGGAGAACGCTTTGGGAATTTCCCCAGCGTGACCACGCTCTGAATCACATGTGAAATCAGTCCAATGGAAGGGCGAGACGTCACAGGCGGGTGACGTAGAGACCAGGAAGCTATAAAAGCCCATGCAGTGAAACTGGCGTCAGCTTCAAGGAATGAAGCAAGCGCTCGCAGGGATGCCGGAAGTATGGCACCAAGACGCAGTGTCTCATTCCCTCAGGGAACCATGGTTACATGCGTAACCTGGAGACGTTTCCTTTCAGGAACTTGAGCTGTGTCGAAACATTCCTCGTAGAGGGAGCTCTGGATTGGAGAATGGTCTCAACAACCTCGGTTTAGAGACCGGAAGCTGCAAGTTGTACCCCCTCAGGAGCCATACCCATGCTTCCACAGCTCCGGGGCGGGTATGAAGATAGTACCCGCCGCCTGTGAGAGGAGATCCCTCCTGAAGGGTATCTCCCGTGGAGAGCCGTCGAGAAGGGAAATCAGGTCCGAGAACTATACTCGGCCCAGCCAAAACGGGGCACTAGCAGCAGACGGACCCTGTCCTGGCGCACTCTCTCCAGAACTCCAGCAGAGCGATCGTGGGAAAGGCGTACAGCCCCAATTGAGCTGGATGAGTCAGAGAGAACCAGAGGGGACAGTGCGATGTCTCTCGAGTCGCAAACGGGTCCACCTGAGCCTGGCCAAAAATTATCCGTACCCCGGGCCTCGGCCCCTGCCTCAGCAGGATGTCTGCTCCCATAATGAGAAGCCCAGGAATGTGAACTGCTCTCAGTAAGAGGAGTTTGCCCTGGGACCACACAAGGATCTGGTGCGCCTGCCTGTAAAGGGGGCGCGATCGCAGACCTCCCTGGTGGTTGATATAAGAGACCGCCGCTGTGTCGTCGGTGCGCACCAACACATGGCAACCTCTTAGGTCTGGGAGAAAGTGTTTCAAAGCTAGAAACACGGCCAGCATCTCCAGGCAGTTGAAGTGCCATGTGAGATGGTGACCGGTGAGGGACGTGTCCATTGCTAGCATTTCGCAGCGACAAGGAGCTCCCAGCACCGAGCCCTGAGCCAAGAACCAAGGTTTCCTCCACATGTCTAAGGCACGTAGGCATTGCCGAGTGGCTTTGAGCATGCAAAGCGGGTTTCCCCTCGGGGAGAACCCCTTGGTCTTGAGCCAACACTGTAGGGGTCTCATGTACAGCAGGCCAAAGGTATCACGTTGGACGCAGCTGCCATCAGACCCAGCAGTTTCTGGAACTGCTGACAGTGAGTGACCGGCCTTCTCTCACTCTC